CGTGTATGTGTATGTGTGTGTGTGTGTGTGTGTGTGTGTGTGTGTGTGTGTTTGTGTGCATGTGTGTGTATCTGCGTACACACAAGCCTTACAGTAAATACATGTATGTCTATTCTCAAGCATATAAGCCATACCAACCGCTTCTTGGTTATCACATCAAAGCTTGTTTACAGAATAAATATTGCGAGTGCACGTCATGATCTGTCCCATCTCGTTTCGAACATCGTCAATACGACGAAGGTGCTCAGCCCAGAAGTTCTGCTCTTAGAACTCGGCCGGCCAATCATAAATCACTTGACTTCCCGCGTCACTCCTTTCTTTTCAGATCCACAGCTGTCGTTGTAGGTTTAAGTGGGTTCCCGCTCACTTCCGGTTAAAATTTTAGGGCGTAAAAAGAACAGTTTCATTTTCGTTTTCGTCTTGTTGATTAACAGCTTAACGGTTGACGCAAATGTCACGAGATCCCTGTTTATTGCAAACAAATGCAATGTCAGAGTATAATACCTATGTCCACCCCTCCTCTCGTTCTGTGGTACGCAGTCAATTCTGCAAACTAGCACTTAATGGATTCGATTATTCAGGCACATGCGTTGTGTGTTGTCTGGCGTTGTACGGTTTGCTGGATGTGTGAAGATAATATTATGTTTTGTCTGTTTGATGTTTGGGGGGAGGGGCCGGGGGTATAAGCTTTGAGTATGTTCTCTTCACTAGTTTCTCTTAACAATTATGCGACTGATATGACAAGGCTCTCTTTTATGGAAGTCTCGTAATGAACTAAAGTTGAACGATTAATTTTTGTAGGAGTTTTACGGCCCTTACAACACAATAAGATCATATAAGTGCGGAAGATTAGAGGTGTTACAAGAGTAACAAACACAGAAAAGAAGGAGGAGAGATCAGGACGCAAAAAATTTGACTGGAAAGTAGGAGCAACCCATATCAGAGCACCCGCCAACCACCTGTAAGCTGAACGACAATAAGACGTAAATAATGTTGAATGGAAATACTATGGCAAATACAAAAACTTCCGAAACTGGAAACTGACACTATTTTTCCAAAACAGGCTAAAATAATCGTATGTATGCATGCGTATGTATGTGGAACTATGGCGTGTATTGTGCGTTTGGGTGCGTGTGTGTGAGTATGTCTGTGTGTGTGTGTGTGTGTGTGTGTGTGTGTGTGTGTGTGTGTGTGTGTGTGTGTGTGAGTATGTGTGTGTGTGTGTGTGTGTGTGTGTGTGTGTGTGTGTGTGTGTGTGTGTGTGTGAGAGAGAGAGAGAGAGAGAGAGAGAGAGAGTATGTGTGTGTGTGTTTGCATTATATGCATTGTGTGCGCGTGGGAGAGAGAGAGAGAGAGAGAGAGAGAGAGAGAGAGAGAGAGAGAGAGAGAGAGAGAGAGAGAGAGAGAGAAAGAGAGGGGGGGATAGTGAGAGAGAGTGATAGCGATTTTTTTTATCTAAGCATTAGAAATAATATAATGAAATATGAGGTATTCGTGTTTCTGATTTGTAAATGTTTGCTCGAAATGTGCCGCAACAGTGCCTTAGGTCTACGCTGACATAATAGCAATAATTCTGTTTTGTCCTTAAAGAATTAAACTGCAAAAAGTTCCCCTCTGGTCTGATCACATCCAGCGATATTGAACAGGGAGCTATCTTGCCTCCTCTTATTTACTGAGTTTTTTAGATACTAGGCTCAAACAGTCTGTTGGCGATATACTCTGTTTATAAAGCTGTCTGATAAGACGCTGGTCAATATTTGCTCTTACTTCTTTTTAAATTGAATTGAAGCATGCTGACAACGTGCTTGCAACGCAAGTTCAAATTATTTTGTCAACATCGAAGATAAAAATCTTGCTAGCGATTCCTACGATAATATCATTAAGTTTGTATCCAAGGGAAGAGTATTCTGTGTCATTTTCAATAAGTAATTTCGGTAGCAGGAAAAAAAGGATGCAAAAACAACAGAAAACTCGAACTTCATACTCAACTCAAATTGCGGTTCTCATCAGTCAATACGACATTCTGTGAAGCAATTGTTTAAACAAGAAGAAGCGCAAACAGCTCCCATCTAAAATGATTATCACGTTATTTTCTAACAAATACCTGCTTAACTTGTAAAGAGTGATTTTAAGGTAGCACACTTATCGTATAAAGAGCTAAAAGGCTCTCAAATAAAATTGATTAAAGTTCTGGTTACCAGAGTCAATTATACTGGTTAAAGCTAGAGTTTTTCTAACGGTTTATATGAAGGTGTGTTTATATTAATTATACACTAAGTTTACTTAAAGAGTTATGATAGGTGTGCACCTCCTTGTGTGTGAGTATGAGTATGTGTAGGCTTTGATTAAGCTATAATATTGTGTGTGTAAATGTGTACGGTGTACATATTATGTGAGCGCGCACACGCAAGAGCGTGTTTGTGTATGTGTGTGTGGAAGTATGTGTGTCCATGTAACGTACATACATGATGCGAGTGAGTCTGCTCGTGTGTGTGTGGGGGGGGGG